TAGATACTCAACCCTCATGGCCTCAGTGGGAGTATTGGCTCCAATTATGATGTTATAAGATGTTAGTTTCGTTACTGTCAAGACCACAGGAAAGAAGATCCTGTAAATATTTTCCAATGCTGTAAAAGCTGCCCTAAATATAGTGACTTAACTCTAATTTATTATCCTATGCTTCTCTAGGCTATCAGTACCAGCCCAGTATCTTACACATGGTCAAAGAGCCAAGCAAAGCAGTTTTCTGGAAATCTTAGGGAAGAACCAGTTTCCTGGACCTTTCCAGTTTCTCGGTGCTGCTATCTGTAATTCCTTGACTCAGGGCCCCATTTCTTCATCCTCAGAACCAGTGCAGTAGAGATCTTTGAGTCCTGAAGTCTAACCATAGACCTTGACGTTAAACCTGGAACAGAGATTTTGAGTCTTTTCATCGTGATATAATCTTTAGAGTATATCATCTATTACAGGATCATTGTCATATCTTACCTTAGTCACCGCTGAAAAAGCAAGCTTTCCCCCATGTATGGTCATATAGTCAGAGATTCGGGGGATTAGGACATAAACGTCTCACAGGGAGGGGGACACTGTTTTTGTTACCCTACATGAAAAGTAAAATTTTATCTTCAGTGTGTAAGTATAGAATAGCATTTCAATACCAAAGTAAAGAAATAAAAAGTTGAGAAAAGATACTGATTTGTGATAAGTAAGTGGATTTTCAATGGTTGTGTTTTAATCATGTCAGTGCTGTGTATTTGCAGTGTAAATTTTCTGATCTTCAATTTTGTCACCTGGACGATAAGCTTAGAAGGCTTTCCTCAGAGGACTCTTTGGGAAGGTTGATGTTGATTTTTGTATCAACATGCAGCATTATAATTTTTTGGCTCAGAATTCATTAACATTAAGGCAGAGCTGAGGTTTTAATCATCGTCACTTAAATCAGTATATATTTTTCAATGTAGCTTTGTGTTGGTCATAAATAATTCTTGCTGTAGTCCTGAGAAGAGGGTACGCTGTTCTCTTGAAAGCTACTTCTCAGAAACTATAATATGGCAGATGGAGGTGAGGCAGCCTTTCAATTGGAAGATTTGATTCCTTGTTGAGAAATTATAGCACCAAACGCCTGCTCCAAAACCCCCACAAAACTAAATATTAAATATTAGAGTATGTCAAGTCTATGATCTCACAGGTGGTGATTGGACATTAGTTATATTATTGTCTCCAATTAATAGATTCTGTTGAAAAAGTAAACCAAATGTCAACCACTAATCTAATCTTTTAACAAGTAGTTTGTTGTTATAGCTAGATGAAAATGGATGAAAACTGAATTTGACATAGTAACGTTTGTTAGCTTTAATCTTAAGGCACATTGGCTAGTACTTGCTTTTAAGAATTCTTTATACTAAAAAAAATTTTCTTCTCCTTGCTTGTGTTGTGTAAATGGATGTGTTCTATTTCCTTTGTATTCTAGTAGAACTTATCTGATCTGAAGTTCTAGTCTAATTGTGAAGATATTATTATATATTTTGATGTCACAATTATTAAAATATACCCGGAAATATAGACCCTTTGGATGGTTTTATTAGACTGTCTTTTAATTGAAAAATCTTATGTTTTTATATTTTGGAGAGTCATTATTTATCAATATAAGATATGCTACAATAGTGGAAAATATGTGCTCTTATCTGTCTATTTTAGTAATGAATGAAACCTTATGTCTTAGGAGCTTTGATATAGAGCTTCATGTGCAGGCAAATACTATATGACACATTTTGAATTTGTTACTCTACAAGTTAGATAAAATCAGTATTTTTTACATTGAGTGCATTTGTGTGTGTCATCAAATAACTAATAAGGTATAAAAAGAATCATTAGCCTTTCTTTAGAAAGATATTTAAGCTAGTGAACTATAAAATTCTAAATTCTTCTAAATGTCACTTGGAGTTCTGGGGGATGCCTCTCTTTTGAATTCAGAAGTCATCAATTGAATATCTTGATATAGTTGAGTAAGCGGGAAATGAGCACTGCTTTGCAATCGCCTGGTAGATGTGATCCTAAGTGGGAGGACAAGGATGGAGAGGGTGAGGATGAATAATAAATGCATCTGAAAATGGGGCTTAGCATGTAGAGGATATCAACACATCCTCTGGATTCTGGGAAGTCTGTCTTCATTATTCATTATGCTTCCTAAGGAATAGGTGTGTGATGGATAGATCCTTTCAAACTTAGTAATAATTATTATTCAATTCTAAAATAAAAATGAAATCTAGAGAAATCTTCCTAACCATAACAATATACCTTAATGGCTACAATTCCATGAAGATGTCTGTTTTTCTCTCCTCAGGTTTCCTTCCTGTCATTTTTAAAATTAATCTACTTTTAATATATTTACAGAAACCAGTGTTGTTAATGTGACACTGGTTATTTCAACTGTAAACATGTGAAAATGTTATCATTTTCTCTTATAGGATGGAAAGTGCTTTTGCAACTTCAATTTCACTTTTAGGCTTAAATTTTCCTTTCATTTTTTTTCCCCTTCAAGGATTGTGAAGAATTCCAGCCTCCCTACTGTTGTGTCTTACCCAGATTCATGTTGAATATGTATTTCCCAGCATCTAGAGATGCTGATTCAGTGTCGTTGGTGACAGGTGTCTCAATGACAAAGGCAGGAGGCCTTTAAAATCTCCATTTGGGGAGTGTCAGGATGGGTATGACATAGACTCATGCTGACAATCTGAAACGAAGGCTCTTGGCATAATTGCTATTCATTCAAAAGTTAAGAAATGCAGCTGTGTCCTCTTCACCTCCAATCCCTGGAAATTCTATACAAGGAATGGAGACTTGCCCCTTTTACTTCTGGGTTTCTACCTTCTGCCTTCTTTTCCTTTGATGGTACTAAAGACCAGTGAACATAATGCTATTTTTGTTCCAATTAAACTTATTCTGGCCAAAATTAACCATTTCCTGGGGTGGGGGGGGTGGTTCCTAATACACAGAGAAAGAGTTTCTGCTTTTATTGAGGGAAGAATGAATGCCTTTTTTTTTCCATCTAGTAATGGGGGTGAGCTGGGGGCGTGAAGGCATTGCAGCATATTCTCAGGCAACGCAGGAACAAACGCTTAAATAAATAAATACAGGATGGGAAAAGCAACTGTTCTTTCTAGAAATGACTCATGATATTTCTTCAGAGGACAGGAAGAATGAATTAGCTGAAGATTTACAAGACTCTATTAGCTCTTGGGCATGAGCTGTAGGCTAAATGGCCTAAAAGAACATGTTCATTAATTAATCACTCAGCTTTTGGCAGCAAAATGTATGGCGAACACACATGTTAATTTCTAAAAATGGTTAACAATCAGAATGTGATTTTGTAGTACTCATGTCTTCACATGAGCTATTCACATGTTTTCTGCCTGCAGAGAACCCTGAACTATTGACTAAAAACATCCATGGCTTAACAGGACTAATGTTAGTCAGGGTCACATTATTTTATAAAGCTCTTCAATTAATTTGATTCTTAATCTCATCAACTTTATGGGTGAGTCAGCAAACTGGCCCCAGGCTATAGACTTCCTCTGTTCCACCCTAGCAGCCAAGGACAGAGACAACCTGATTGTCAGCATGTACCATGTTAAGCCCATAATATAAATTCCCCTTCCTCTAAATTCTGTAAGAAGGGCCATCATTGAGCCACTTGGGCCTGAACTTGGGCCTGATTTTCCTTAGAGCCTCTGTCATATTGCTGTCTAACACCCAGCTTAGCTATGGTGTTAACATTGTAATCAATATCTTCTAAATGCAACAACCTGTCTTTGCGTCATCCCTTGACTCTAAATGCGAAAAATTTCAATGACAATTTTAGGTCTTCTGGGTGATAGGAATCAGTTTTACATTGTGTTTGGCCATGGCTCTTGTGTCCACAGGAACAACTTGACAAAGATTTCCCTTTCTGCCTACGAAGTAATAAACAAATTTGAAATTTAATATAGCTATGAATGAATCGTTTGAAAATGGATCCCAAGTCTGATAGTTAGGTAGACTGAAAGGCCCAAAAAGCTTCTCGCTAAATTTAGAAAAAAGAAAAAATCAAAACAAGATAGATAATATCTTGCCAACATTTTCCTTTCCTTTCTTCCTTTTTAAAAATGATTATTTTTTGAGCATTTCACATATGTATTTTGATCATATCTATTCTCTTCTATCCTCCTCCAGCTTCTCTCAGATATCCCCACTAAGATTTATTTTTGATTTTGAGAGTCATGTATACTTAGGAATGTATTGAGGATGGTGGTAAGCGAACCATACATTCAATAACAAAGTTAAAAAATATCCTTGACGCCAGAAGAATGACACAGTGGATAAGGGTGCTGCCACCAAGACTGATGGCCCGAGATTAATCTCTAGTACCCAAGCGACAGCAGAGAACCTATTTGTCCAAAATTTGTCCTCTTACACATTGGCCATGTCACACACACACACACACACACACACACACACACACACACACACACACCACTTCACACACGTGCATGCGCACACACACACAAACACAGCACCCCCACATGGGAATTTGAATAGTAAAGTAATGGGATGGTTGGATAGATTTAATCCCCGACTTTTGTGCTTCTGGACTCAAACTCAGGGTCCTATACATACTGGGGAACATAAGGAAAATTTTTAGCATAAACTTCAGTTTTCATAAGCTTTCTGTGGATGAGTTCAAATTACTAACTCTTACTGAAAAACAAAAACAAAATCCAACAACTCCTCTTTTGAGAAGCATATTATGTTTGTGATCAATGAAGTCAACACTCCAGTTTTCTTTAAATGCTACTTTTAAGCATCTCTTAATTATTTTCATTTCTTTGTTTCCTCGTCTTTTTCTTTCCTTTTCCTTTTTGGTTTATTTTTTCTAGGTAGTATCATACCTTAAGTGTTATGATTCATAACTATGACTAACTTGTAGATGGAATTGTTTTTTTATCTTAAACTTTAATATGTTTATTTTATATCAGGTGAGTAATGAATAGATACTGTAAAAAGATTTGATAGAGAGATATCTCACACAATGGTGTGAATGCCAAATTGTCAAGTTTATGAGCCAAAAAATGAACAAGAACTCTGTATGTAAATGGAGTTTATAGATTTTGATTTAGCAGGTGTAGAAATGTGCCACTGTGCTGACCTCTGCAATCATGAACTTAAAGGCCCAGAAATGACATCTGACTATTTAATACAAGTTTTCCACTTGGCAAACACTATCATTTAAAGATGATGAAATACAAAACAACTTAATTTTAAACGTAATACCATCAGTGAAAGTGAGCTAAGCCACAGGTCACTTAGGTTAGCCTGGAATTCTCTTGTGTAACTTCAGAGGAGTGTATGATTCAGGTGTGACTCTCATGAAATGTGACCTTTGAGTCATGGTTTTGTAACCTATATTGTTTGACAAACCAGCTGTGGAGTGATTAGTGAATCATTTTAGGACATTACACAGTAAATGTTGAAATGACTAAGGCACCTTCTTCTCCTGTATTCAATCCCTTAACCCATCGTTTTCTACTTTCACAATTTAAATACAGGTTACCTAAATTTTGATTCACTAGCATGCTCATTTAGTTGAAGACCAGTTTTGGTTCTGAGAGATTTCCATGAGGTTTCTATGATCTTATGCAACAAAGAAGGCAAAGGACCATCCTTGACTGAAAAGTTGAAAGGTGAGGGGTGTGGATGAGAAAGCAGAGGGTAAAGGAGGGGCAAGAAGATAAGGGGAGGGAGGATGTCATGATAAGGTATGGGAGGGGAAAGGATGAATGATTTGCTTAACATAAGACTCTGTCTTAGAAGTGGTTGTGGAGCCCCCATGGGACTGGACTAGGCCCTCTGGATACGGAAGACAGTTGTTTGGCTCAAACTGTTTGGGGGGGTACCCAGATAGAGGGATAGGGATCCGTCCCTAGCTCATGGGCATGCTTTTAGGAGTCCAGTGCTGGTGGTGTGACGCTTTGCGCAGCCTTGGTGCAGTGGGGAGGGCCTTGGACCTGCCTAGGCTCAGTGTGCTAGGCTCTGCTGACTCCCGACGCAAGATCTTGATTTGGGGGATGTGGGGTTGTGGGGTGGCTTGGGAAAGAGGGCTGGGGGTGGGAGGAGGGAGGAGGGGGGATCTGTGGGTGGTATGTAGAGTGAGTAGAAAATTTCTTAACAAAGGAAAATGAAAAAAAAAGACTCTGTCTTGGAGATAAAATATCTACCCCACCAAAACACCTCATTGAAATCTAAATACACAAAGCCATTGCTGGCTTTCTCTTCTACTGAGGATAACTTCATCATGTCTCTACATAAAGCAACAATCCAGCAGACAAAACAAGACAACTGTGTATTAAAAAAAAAGAACACCACTATTTAAGACCATATTTTACCACAAACAGCATTTTCTTTTACACAAAGCATCCCCAGAATCTGACTGTGTATTCCTACAACCCTGATAACATCATTATTCATCTCCAGGAATAAGGAAATGTTACTGCATTTTTGAGAGCAAAAAGGGGGGAAGCCTGACTGATAAAATAGTCAAACGGGACTTGATAACAATTTATTTCTGACCTTTCAATGCCTTCTGCTCCTAATGATTTTCTGTCATTTCTGTCTAGTCCAGACTTGAAGTTAGGTCTCTGAGGTACTTACTTCTATGTTGCCACTTAACTTTCAACTTCCATTTTCAGCACAGAAAGGTAAATCAGTAACTGTCACTCTGGCTTCTCAAGGTTTGTCAGGCACCCAAAAGGGATTATGACATAGATCTGAAGGGGATTTCATGTGACTTTTACTTTAATTTTGACATAATCATGGAAATGCCTTAGGACTCCAGGAACTTAATTATCCTGAAAGTTAACCTCCCTCTCTCTTCCTCTGCTTAGGTTTCTGGTTCACTACACCAGTCCTTTCTCTTCCCTGACTTATCAAGAAGTGATTAAGGAAGAAAGAAAGGAGAAATTAGGGGCATTTGCTGTGAGATGTACGCATGGTTGATAACTGTCTCTTTTCTCTAATTTTTTTCTTTTATATTTCATTTCCAAGGGGAAGATACATAACTTTACTAGTCTGGGCATTTGGGCACTCTTTCAGAACCTTGAGAGCGACCCTCTGCAAATTTAGCGCCTCATTCTTTATTTAAATATATTTTTGAGTCCAATTTTTGGCTTTGCAAAGGGAGCCATGTAGGAGAAGAATCTCCCCAGAGTTCTTCTTCAGAAGAAAATGAGAAAAACAAGTCTAAGGTGTCATCTACAGAGAGTTCCTATCTTTAGATCATAAACACTTTTATGTTTTATAGTATATTCGTTCAGATAGATTTATTTATAGATAGGTGGATATGGATTTTTTACGCACTAGTCAAATTATCTTTGTCATAATGAGGCTGACACAAACTGGCTTAAGGCAGGACACTTCTAGGCTTGGCTGGATTCAGGACCTAAAGAAGTAGGCTAACAGACTTAGAAGGACAAACATGATATGTACGCACTCCTAAGTGGATATTAGATGTAAAGCAAAGGATAACCAGACTACAATTCACAGCTCCAGAGAAGCTAGCTAACTATGAGGACCCAAAGAGGGATGCGTGAATAGCCCTGGGAAGGGGAAGTAGATGACATCCCCATGAGTAAACTGGGGATGAGGGGTGGGTAATGTAGAGTAGGGGATGGGGGATGAGAACATAAGGGAACGGAATGGTTGAGCTGGAAAAAGGATGGAGTGGGAGAGCAATGAAAGAGATACCACGATAGAGGGAGACATCATGGGAATAGGGTAAAACCAGGTGCTAGGAATGTTTCCAGGAATCCCCAAGATGACCCCAGCTTAGACTACCAGCAATAGTGGAGAGGGTGCCTGAACTGGCTTATCCCAGTAATCAGATCGATGAATACCCTAACTGTCATCATAGACCCTTTCTCCAGTAACCAATAGAAGCAGATGCAGAGATCCACAGCTAAACACAAGGCCAAGCTCCAGGAGTCCAGCTGAAGATAGAGAAGAAGGATTCTATGAGCAAGTACATCAAGATCAGGATGGGGAAACCTACAGAGACAACCAAATCAAACTAGTGAGAACTCATGAAATTTAAATCAACAGCTGTGGAGACTGCATGGGACTGAGCTAGGCCCTCTGCATGGCGAGGCAGTTGTGTAACTTGATCTGCTTAGGGGGCTCCATGGCAGCAGGACCAGAATCCACCTCTGGTGCATGAGCAGGCCTTTTGGAGCCCACTTCTATGATGGGACATTTTGCACAACCTTGAGGCAGGGGGATGGACTTGGACCTTCCTCTACTGAATGTACCTCCCCATGAGAGGCCTTACCTTCTTGTAGAAGGGAATGGGGCGTGGGTTGGGAGGGGGAGGCTGGAGGGGCAGGAGGAGGGAAGAGGGGGATCTTTGGTATGTAAAATGAATAAAAAAATTTCTTAATAAAAAAAAAAGAAAGAAGAGGGATAACTCCTTGTTGTATAATAATTTTCTTAATTGAAACATGCCATTCTGCAGGGAAGCTCCTCAAACAGGATGGTTAAAAAACTCAAAATAGCTTCAGGAAGTTCCTAAAAGTGACTAGATTCACTAGGCCACTCCCTGCTAGAGTAAGCAATGAAAGCTGAGAGTCCTTCTCAGGGTAGTGAAGTTAAGCTACCAAGAAGCCTCTCAGACAAACCAAGCTACAAAGAGTACTCTGAGACAAGATTGCCTGCCTGGAAGAAGCAGAAACCAGCCATGCTGCCTGGAAGAAGCTTAGGCCAACTGAAGAACCTGGAAAGGACACTCTCCAACCTGTTGAGGTGCCTGTAGGATGTACAGTGTACTTCAGGTGCCCAGCATTGTGAAGTGTTAGCCTTGCTGGAGTGGACTCTGGTGCTACAGCTGTCTTTAAGGTGTTTGTGATACTGTAAGTAACACCTTACTCATATTTCTGTACATGCAACTCCTCCAAAACTCATTGTTTCACCAAATTGGACTTTGTGTGATATACTTAGTTTGGTCTGTTGTGGGTTTTCTATCTAGGGTGAGAAGATATGTGTGTTGCATCTCCCCAGGAAAAGTTTTGTCACATGACACTCCTCCTTGTCCTCTGCTCTTCAACATTTCCTTTCATTCTCTCTCCTTGTTTTGTATCTGCATCTTTCTTGGTGTTGCCTTTGTTGTCTCAAGCTACAGGTGGGGTCACTTCCTGTAATAGGAAATAAAGACATGAGCATCCTTAGTCTAAACACAATAGACCCCTTTTCTAACTGCCCATGCAGTCTTCTGGAAAAGCACTCAATCTGTCCATGGAAATGTTCTATGCTTATCCTTGGCTTAGTTACATGGTGAGGGTGTTGGAAGCTCATCTCTCCTGACATGTCTTTCTATTGATGGTCCAAACCTGGACTGATGATTTTACTATATTGGATGATGAAAAGGACAAGTTAGGAATGAAGATTATTGTTGTCCTTACAGAACTGAATGTGTAAGAAAGCCTGTGGAGAAAGCCATATTTATCCAAATATAGATCTTGATGTATTTCTGTGCATACAGGAGCCATATAACTAATATACCTCCTTGGGTATTTGATTTTTTTTCTTAACCCCTTTCATAGTTTCTTAGTTAAAGTTTTATTGCTGTGAAGAGATACCATGACCACAGCAACTCTGATAAAGGAAACCATTTAATTGGGGCTGTCTTGCAGTTTCAGAGGTTTAATCCATTATTGTGATGGAGAGAAGCATGGCAGCATGTAGGCAGATGTGGTGCTGGAGAAGGAGCTAAGAGTTCTACATCTTGATCCATGATCCACAGGCAGCAGAAGGAAACTGCCACACTAGGCCTATCTTGAGCATATAAGGCGTCAAAGCCTGCCTTCACAGTGACTCACTTCCTTTAACAAGGCCACACCTACTAAAACAAGGCCACATCTCCTAATAGTGCCACTCCCTACGGTCCAAGCATTTAAACACATAAGTCTATGGGGTCATTCCTACTCAAACTACCACATTCTATTACCTGGCCTCAATAGGCGTATAGCCATACCATACTGCAGAAATGCATTTAGTTCAACTTTAAAAGTCTTCATGGTCCTGCCACAG